GAGAAACACTGTTTTAGACTTATTAGTGTCTACCTTGGATTTTGTTTTTGGTAGTTTTCTTCTCCTTTTTCTCTAAGTTCAGGATTTCTTTCCAATTTTGAGCTGGCGTCACTACTGGTAGTGATGGAGTTGGGTGTACTCTTAGTGGTATGGTTGGTTTCTGGTCAATGGCTTTCCATCATCCTGTGGCCTCCCTTGCAGCTCCTACTTCCCAGTCTGGAAAAACCCCCGGAGAGGAATGACCTCTTGGGAACCTTAAGAAGCCAGGGATGCTCAATGGGAAGAAGAGGCTCTGAAGAAAGACAGGCATCGTCACGCATCCCTCGGCCACCTTCTCCATAACCCTTTGCAAGAAGGCCACCCTCTGCTCAAGAGAAGTGCCCCGAAGTCCAATCTTCCTTGGAAAGAAAGATAGAATGAGACTTATTAGAGCTGGAACGATGAGAACCATTAAGAAAAAAAAAGAGGATTTCTTTTCCTGTAGGGTGCCAATCTTCACGTCCCAAGGTCTCCCCAACTTCTTCAAATTGCTGTCTTGGCTTGTTCTAAAATCTTGCTGAGTTCATTCTCCTGCCAGGCTGAGGTTTGAAGGCCCAGAACCCAGACACCTTCCCCAAATTCATACCCTGATGGTATCTCTCTGCCCCCATAACTCCAGCCCTCAGCAAGAACTCTTTGGGGCAGAAGGTGCTGCTAAACCGCAGCCCCCCCAGTCTTCCTGCTCCTGTTTCTCCTTGCTGGAGCTCCTTCCCCTTTCTATAGGGGTTCATCTTGGGAAAGGCAAGGGAGAGAAGGGCTTGGTCTCCCCCCAGAGAAAGTCCATCCCCTCCTTTTTAGCGGGTATTTCCATGGGCTTCCAGTCGAGCTTTTCAGGCAGCTCAGTCACACATCATCCTTGGGTTGCTCTCTTAGAGGGAGTTCTGGTCCTCCTGCCCATCCTGGAGGCTGGGGTGGGTGGGAGAGATTAATTTCTAGGCCCCAGGCTGGGCTGTGGAAAGGGGCTTCTGATTCTGATCAGGAGGGCTGTCATTCATAAAACCCAGATGGAATTAGAATATCCTCCTCCGCTGACAATGATTTTATTGCCTCTCAGCATTTGGGACGGGACTCTAGAAATCTCTCCCTTTCCTTAAATATGGTCCACTTAAATGTCCCTGCTGAGGACAGCTGCTTTGCAAATTGAGACATGCCTTTCCCATCTTGTGGGGTGGATTTTCTGAATGGGAAATCTGGGTTCCCTTCTGCCACCCCCCCCCCCCCCACATTGCAATTACATCTTTGCAAAGCTGGCCGGTTCCCCTCTTCCCCTCCATGGTCTCTAAGTGGGTTGGACCAAGAATCCCCTCCGTCATCCCCACTGGCCATATGGGCAGAGATGATGGGAGTTGTGGTCTGGCACCAACCCAGGAGAGTATCAACGGAGAGAAAACTCCAGTTAGGTTTCAGAGTCTGGAGGGTCAAATGGAGCAACCTCAGTGGGGCAACCTGAATTTGAGGAAGCTGGTTTTTCTCAGCAAAGCGTGACCGACGTGTGCAACGTCAGCTTCTTCCACTGATTTTGCAATGAGGCCGGTCCGTCGCAGGAAGCCCAGGCTGCCAGCGTGTTCGGCTGTCCAGGAAGCGGAGAGAGTCAGCTTCGGGTATCCCTTCAGGCAACAGCAGTAACTGTAGGATTAACTTCTTAGTGAATTTAGGGAAGGAGTCAGCAATCTGATGCCCGTAGGGAGAACCACTAGTTTCTCTGCCCTACCTGACTTGATTTCTTTTTGGATGATGGTAATAACAACAAGAACAACAACAAATGACAATGACAAAATGACCATCAGTCCATTGCAAAAGGCCGCTTTACCTGGAACAGCTGTTATCCTGCCACAGTACCTTGAACACCATCAAACAACATCTGCCCATCTCAGGTCCTTGGGAAGGACTTGATAGGTGGGCAAAAATGCCAAATCCAATCAAAACATCTGGCTGACTGTGCACCCAACCATAATAGTAATAATTTAATTGATTACGTGCCATCAAGCCAGTGTTGACTCTTAATGACCACACAGGCACATTTTCTCCAGGAGGATCTGTACCCAACCTGGTCCTTCAGGTCTTCTAGTGGTGCCCCCATCGCCATTGTAACTGAGTCCTTCCACCTGGCGCTGGTCATCTTCTTCTCTTTCACCTTTTCCAGCATCAGAGCCTTCTCCAGAGAGAAGAAGTCTTTGCACTGATTGACTGATTACCTGCCATCAAATTGGTGTCAACTCTTAGCAGCCACATAGGTATATTTTCTCCAGGAGGATCTGTCCCCAGCCTGGTCCTTCAGGTCTTCTAATGGTGCCCCCGTCGCCTCTGTAACTGAGCCCCTCCATCTCGCTGCTGGTGGTCCTCTTTTTCTCTTTCTTTCCACCTTCTCCAGCATCAGAGCCTTCTCCAGAGAGCTGGGTCTTTGCATAAGGTGTCTTAAGTTGGATAATTTGAGCCTGGTCATTTGTGCCTCAAGTGCCTCTGGGTTAGTTTGTTCGATGATCCATCGGTTTGTTTCTTGGCCATCCATGGTATTCTCAGGAGTCTTCTCCAACACCAAAATTCAAAGATGTCAGTACATTTCCTGCTCCTTCAAAGTCCAACTTTTGCTTCCATAGGGGTCACGGGAAGAACATGGCTTGCATGATTCCGATCTTTGTAGGTATAGAGGCGTCATGGCATATCTTTTCCAAGGCCAATGTGATGACATAATGGTAGTAATAGAAAAGGAGGTCTGCAAGTAATGGGAGTGGGCCTGTCTGTCTAGAGAAAAAACATAAAAATTGGGGGGGGGGGCAGAGCGCCTCTTGGAAAGCTATAGAAAGGAACATCTAAGGTATTTTGTGACTGGCTGCCAGCCCTTCACGGTAGGCCAGTTCAAGAAATGGGTAGTAGTGCCCTTTATCGTAGTAAGGTAGAATAACAAAACCTTGAAAGCCGATCTAAGTTTTTTTGTGTCCCATTTGAGTCCGCCGGTCAAAAAAAATTGATCTGCCCCTGATTTTAGGAATGGCAATTTTGCAGGGCTTCAGTAGATGTGGGTTTCCCCAAAGTTAAAAACTGGCATTATGTTAGAATTAAAAACATGCTGGCCAGGGAATTCTGGGAGCTGAAGTCCACACAAAGCAAAAAACACTTTAGGGAATTGAAGTAATGGGAATGCAGTTTAATTCTGTAGTGCAGATAAATGAAGTTGACTTGTTTGCTGGAGTGAGGGAGGAATGACAACGTTTGACCTCAGATGCTCCACTAGTTCTGAATGTCTTGCCAGATCATGGTTTCCCCTACCTAGAAACTGAAAACAGGGCAATTTAGGATGAACCGAAACAACATTCTGCAAATGGGGGAAAGCAGAGCAGAGTGAAACAAAAGAGTTAAGCAACCAATACTGAATTTGAACGGGTGTGGAAATCCTATCTGGTTCAAGGCCTTCCAGATGAGGAAGAAGCATGATTCCAGAATCTCCTGAAAGTGATTCTCTCTCCCTCTGCCTAGATTACAGCAAACCATAGTCAGTTGTTTCCTTATAACCTGGTCCAGGAAAGCAAGAGGGCTTGGGTTAAGGATCTGAGGAACTTCTAGACATTGAGGAGTAGATATCTGGTGGAAGTAAATGGGATGGCGCTTGGAATACGAGGAATTGTAGCTGTTCCCCTTGGCAGAAGCTGAAAATCTGCCCAGGGCTACTGGGTCCGTGCTTCTGTGTCTCTCTCCTTGCTATCCCAGTTTTAATATTCTAATTTTTAAAAAAGCACTGTTTGGAATGTGGGGTTTTCATCAGCCGATGGGATTTTTTTTCGGCTTTAAATCCCTTCTCTCTCTCCTGCAGGCTTTTATCTTTCTCAAAAGAATAGACTTGTTCTTGAGAAAATCCCATTTCAATCCACCCTCTGCCTCCACCAATATTTCGCTTCAAGCCAATTTGAGGAAGGCTTGTCGGATAACCTCGCTCCCGGCGATGTTTTTTAATGTGGCTTCTTTATCATTCAAATTGACTTTGATTTGAAGATCTCTCCCGACTGGGGTGGTGCTGAAGCTGAATGAGTACAGTACAAAGCCCAGAGACAGGATCTAAACCAAATCGGCTGCAGAAGTCATTTCTTTCTGTTGCAAACGCCGCTTTGATAATATCCCCCCCCACACACACATCTGCAAGCAATATCTGCACAGGTCGGAAGTTTTGTGGTTTTTCTATTGCCTGCTGTTTTTCCAGCAGAGTGACGCTCAGTGAACCGAGTTTTCAGGTTTTTTAAGAGCTTTGTGTCTTTTTTTTCTTCTTCAGCCCATTTAGAGAAAGATATAAGTGCAAGGGGAGGCAAACCTGTAAGAAAGGTAAAAGAGCAAAGGAGAAAGAAGGGGATGCAGGTAGTTGAACAAAAGGTCTCCAATATCATTAGGGAAAGTTACTAATCACTTAGGATGCTGTGAAATGTATAACATTTGAATAGAGATGTTATACAGAAGATATAAGTCACCCTCTGGGGGAGATGGGCAGCATATAAATTTAATAAATAAATAAGAAAGAAAGAAAGAAAGAAAGAAAGAAAGAAAGAAAGAAAGAAAGAAAGAAAGAAAGAAAGAAAGCCTTATAAAGGCCTTTTGGCTTCAGGTAAGGCCTTATTAAGCTTTTTAAAAATACCTGGTGATCACAATATAAATCACTAACACTCCTACAATAAATCAATGCTAAAAAAATTGAATTTTCCATGAAATTAAAACGCAGACTCTTTACTTCTACCTTTTTTTTCCTGTGTGCAGCAGCATACAAATAAGCTGAATAAATAATAAATAAATGCATAATAAAACCCAGATTTGGGGGCGGCATTTGTGCCAGTCCACAGCAGACTCGCGAGCAGTGCAAAAGTGGATGCTGGCACGATTGCTGCTGCGGTTCTGGAGCTGCAGAATTCTTGCAGGACACGGCAGCTTATCTTGGGGGCCCTTTGCCAGGGGCTCAGGCAGAGAAAGGTTTCTAGCTCCCTATGATAGGAGTGGAAGAGATCTTTGATAATTTAGCCCTTGCGGTGACTGATAATAACATGCGCTTAGCCCTGGAAAACAGGGAAGGGTGAGGAAGAAACTCAAGATTGCCCTGCTTTGATTTTCTTAGGTATAAGAGGGAGGGAAGGGGAAAACACTGTCAAGATTTCAGGACTCCGAATTCTGTTGTTATAACCTATATCAGTAGAGCTCTAGCATTTCTTGGGGTGTCTGTTTCCTGACCTAGCCTACCTCAAAGGGCTGACAGGAAGGAGCAAGGCAGTTTGTTCTACTATCAAACAACTAGATAGTTGACGGATACGGTCTGAGGCAGATGGGAAGGGAAATACTCTTCTAATAGACAAGCATCATCCATCTTCCGTGTAAACTTTATCAGTTCTGTCGTTAATTAAAACTCAGGTTTAATTTTAAGGTTTGTACCTCAGCCTGCTTTTTTCCTCTTCCCTCCCTGACCCTTTTTCTTATGTGCTGGGCATTTAGGCAGGCAAAAATGGTCTTTCTTCAGTGATTCTATCCCCAAGAAGCTTTTTAGCAAGGTAAAAAAAAAAAAAAGCCATTAAAAAAGAATTGGAGCATGAACGAGAATGCTTTTGGGTGGGGAAACAATGCTTTTGTGACTTAGCTGAGTGCTAACTCACAAAAAGGCTTAAAAATGAACTGCTCCCCCCAAAGCAAAGAAAAGAGAGCAACAAGAAGAAAAAGGCCTCCTTTTTAATAATCAACGTATCCCCGATTAGGAGAAACAGCACATGCAGAGACATGGAGGGTAATCAGATTGGTTTAATACACGTCAAGGAAATTAATCATGCCTCCCACTGTCACCCAACCTCCTGCAAGAAAATAACCAAAAATAGAGATCCTGTTCTTGTGGCTTCTCGGGAGGCTAATATATGATTCCATTGCCGAAAGCTGCTGAAAACATAAACGCTTGAGAGCGTCCTTCAGTGGCAGGAAAGGACGCTCAGCAGCCCCTCCGCTTCCATGGCAGAGCTAAAGGATCGAAATGTGCCCCAAATGCATGGAAGGTCTTCAGCTTTTCCATGCAACCTCGCCTCTTTTAAGCCTCCAAAGTCAAACGTAACCGGCTGGCCGTTTTCCACAGCTGTCCAGCCAAAACGAGACCTGGAATGGTTTTTCTTTGGTTCGCTTTTCCTCTGCTTGTTCACAGTTTCCTCCTTCTCCTGCGAGGGCCAGACCCCTTAATTTAAAATTTAAATTTCACTTAAGATGAAGTCAAACGAATGCTTCCTTCTCTCCTCTTTCCTCTCCTGGGGAAAGAAGGCCTGGCGTGGCTTTTCCTCCTTTTAAATCCCGTTCCTCAACGACGATCAAAAGCTAATTAAGGCATTTCCCTTGTACATTTACAATCAACTCAGTTTCCTTTTCCAGGAAGATAAGGAAAAGACACTTATCTATCCAACTCGGCAAGGTCATGGTGGGGTTTTGGGTAGAGAACAGAGAAAAGTGATTTTAAAAATGCAGCCCTCGCTCTATTTTTCTGACCCTACATCCCTCCAGATCTTGTCCAGTCTTCTTTGGGAAAGTCTGGAGGGTGAACTGGTGGGTGACTTAGCAGACCCCAGAAAAGAGTTGGAGGTGTTTGCTTCTCTTGGCTACCACCTAGTGGCCATTGGGACACATTGCAGCACAGATATGGTGGTCCTGCAGGTGGTTGGGAGCAAGACGGGGCTTCAAGATGGCTTGGATAGGATCACCTCCACTCTCCCCTGCCTATAACTGTGATGAAATGGTTTGATGAAGGCCGCGCTCGGGGAGATAAGCATTTCCTTGGCCCCCAACAGGAGCGTGGGAAGGTTAAGAGGATGAGACTGGCACCACCCTAAGGAATTTGCGGTGTTTTCGTTTGCTGGCTTGGGAAGTTTAGATTCAGTCTGGAGAGATTTCTGTCTTGAGGTGGAAGCTAATAAAT